CGAATTCAAAAAAAAAAAAAAACTATAGAAAAAAGAAATAACAGTTATACCTTCTCTAATGAAACGTTAGCTGAACGCAACAATTTCTTTGTATGAGCTTTGACCAAACCAGCATCAGGTATATTACGAAGTTGTGCGGCAAGTCGGGCACCACCCAATGTATACAGTTTACAAGCTTGATAATAGTGCTCCACACTCGGATAGTCATGTCCGTCCACCGTTAGTGTAACCTGCTTTGTCGAGAATTGACAAAATTAAAAGCAACAAAAACACTTACTTTTACTTGGTTTACCCCACTCCAGTCCTTGCTTCCCATACATGTAAAGTAGCAGTTACTGCATTAAAGAGAAAAAGAAATGTAACACTAACGGGATATAAATTTGAGAGAAAGTGCTGACGACCGCTAAAGCAAATGACATCATCGGCATCTACTTTGTAATCATCGGTATCCACATCGATTGGCACATCTTCCACCTGTAACTGTGCATTTCAGGATTAGGATTCTGCAGTTATTTATCGACTTCAAAACCAACTAACTACTTGAAATAATACTAGTACCCTTGTGCATTCCTAACATCAATAGTGAGCCGATACGTCCAAAGCGACCGAACAGAAAGCATGTCGAAAACTTACAGGAGGCGGAGTAAGTGGTTTTGGCGGTGACCGCAGCTCTATTTCCTTCCTTCCACCTTCAAAACTCGTATACTGTCGCCCACCTGCTTTATCCGCAGTAAAATCGATACTCCTTCCGCGATAAACTCCCTGAAACAATTATCTTTAGTAATATGACAAAATATTGACATGTTTCTCGTCTTGGTATCCATCATTTTTGACTAATTTAACAAAATTAAACTGTGCACATAATCAGGAAAATATATGGAAGAAAAGCGCAGGGCCCCATGTTTAACAATAATCTCGATAACAACATCCTAGTAGCTTACTTACATAGTAGTAAGCTCGCGGTGACCACGGTTGTGTAAGTGGTGCCAACCCAGCCGTATCACTTTGTCTATGACGCCGTGCAGCCTTTTCACGTGCAATTTCCATCGCTTTAATAGATGCAGGCGTTGACATCTCCAAACAATTCTCTAGAAAATCAATTAGGTAAAAAGACTCAAAATTTCGCAACCAAGTGTGAATTTATGACATTACAAACATGAAATTCGACTGGACCTTATTAAGTTTAAGTACAATACCCAATGCTCTTTAGATTAATCCGTAACTGTACTTTTGGGATTGGTCTCCAAAACAAAGACTGTATAACAATTCAGTGGATTCACTGAATGCAAATGACACGATAAAAGTATTTTCGTACGGGATATGAAATAAACAGGACCTAACAAGCATGCCTAACAAGCATATATAAATTCCCTAAAGATTATTTGGCAATGCAAAATCCAGCAAGTTGTAATTTTTTAGAAGCTTTCCAATCTACAAAAATAAGACTGCTAGGAATAACAGAAATGTGAAAAATCAAAGTTGGCTTAATAAATATGAACGTGAAATCCAAAATTAACTACATGTTTTGTCAAGATATCATGTATTTTCAAAATTCTGTATTACAATATTCAAAAGAAGAAACACAAAATCTAGAACTGCACCGCAAATTTTAAAAAATAATAAGAAAAAAAAAATTATTTCCCGGAAAAATTTTCTCAATTTTGAAATTATATCGATATGATCAAATCTACTGATGTTTATGATGAATTTCTGAATAGATATTCAGAATGTTATTCACGTGTATTAAAAATGTCTTTGATAAATGTTTAGTCTGAATCAAGTTTAAATGACCAAATCCACCGGGTATATCATAATCCTCGTCCCAAGAATATTTATATCATACATCGCAACTAATTAAAATGAATAGATAATTTGTGGAAAATACTGCACCGTAATGAAACTCAACCAACACCCCTATTGTAGAGACCATTTCCTAGCCACAATATACCATGAGCCACTCATATACTATCCCACATATTCAATCAAGGACTATCGTTACATGAATACATCGCAAATATAGCAGCAACCTATCAGCATGCGTTTATCATCCAGGTGTCTCATAGCGACTTTACGTATTATTATACTTGTACATATTATTGTACTTATACAAAAACAAAACTGCTAGAAATAACAGAACTTTGAAAGGTCAAAGTCAATTTAGTAAGTATAAACCAGTGGAATCTTAAATTACCCAATTTAGAATTGAGCTGAATTAGCTTTTTAAAAAAAGAATTTAGAATTGAGCTGGATTAAATGAAATTTATTTGCATGTTTGAACTGAATTAGTCGGAAATATTTACACTTAAACGTTTGAACTGATTTATGTGTTGGAATTTTAAAATGGAATTTGTTTAAATTTTATTAGGCCAAATTTACTTCGTGTAAAAATTCAAGATGAAAAATTCTAAAGGAATTCCAGTACTTAAAATAATAATTAATTCATTTAATATGCTAGCAATTACTATGATTTTAAATCAACCAATGGCTCGATTGAAGCTTAGTCGTTTCAGATTATATTACAAATATTCATTTATTCTAGATGGATTTCTCAATCCTATGACGAATAATAAGCATATGTTTTGAATGTTTTAGGCGAACTAGGCTTGTTTTTCGTCTTAATTTCAGTTAATTGCACATTTTAGTAGTAGATAAATTGCATTTTTGCAATACTTGTCAGTCTTACACAACATTTAGCAATACAAATAACCTTACGCAAGGTTTGGAAGATATGCTTATAAAGTTTAACAAAAACAATGAATGAAGCGGTTAATTAAATTAACACATTTTAATTTACGTTTTGATTTGAAATAAATATTTACGGTCCAATATATTAAGTTATGTTAACATAATGAGTCATTATTAAGATTATAAAATCTCGAGTTTTTAAGGAATTAATCATAATTATTTAATAAATGAATAATATCATAGAAGAAATGATAGCAGCTATTCTATTACCAATCAGTTTATATGATCATTATGGTGATAATTGCGTGGAGAAGTGTTAAGCGATTTATATTCATCATATTATTGTTTATTGAACTAGTCAAAATTGGTCTGTATTTTTGTTTTTTTTCTCCTTTTCCTGTTTACCGGAAGTGTTAGATTGGGAATACCGTACAAAATTTTGGGAAAACCAAAAGAAAGCGCAATATTTCATCTTTGTAAAGCACAGTTATGATGGTTTGATCTATTTTTTTAAAGTTTTGGAACTTTAAAAACTTGTTTAAAGTGATGAAACTTAAAAAAATAATAATTGATAGCTTTTGGCATTAGAATAGACATGGAATTTGGAAAAGCTATGCTTAAAATATCATTATTTCTTTCTTGTTGTCACTTTTAAAACGGTTAAGACTTTGATCAGAAATCAAAAAATATTAGTCAATTTACAAAATTAAAAATTTAAATTATAATATTTGAGTGGAACAAAAGTGATATGAAACAAATTGATTTCCTATGCAACGAGAAAATATTAGTTGATCTTTCAACGTTGTGATAAGCATCGACCATTTTATTCTAAAAGTTATCAAAGCTTGGACTTTTATTCTCAATAGAATAGGTAAATTGAAGTTGGTTTTAATTGATAATTTTAATTAATGATAGTGAAATGAGTGTGACAAATTAGTTGCTTGTGCAGCGAGAAAATATCAGTTATTGTAGATATGAATACACTTGAACTAATTAGATCAAATTTTCGAGTAAATTCCTTGAACTAATAAAGTGATGTAAACGTATTTCACGTTAAGAATGTGTCAAAGATGGTTATGAATGAAATTTGTAAATTGGAAAAAGAAATGAAACTTAAAGTTGAATCAAATATTTTGAGAGCGTACTGCATAGAATTAGCCAAAAATTTAATAAAAATATGAAATAACAAGGTAAATCATGATGGTTTAAGCAATAGTTGGTTTATCCGAATTAAACTGAAACACTTTGGACAAAAATTAGTTGTTGGATGATATAATCAATTTAGTTGAATGGATCGTAATTTTCACTTTTTATCAATTATTTTATGCCATTTAAGGATTGAAACCTCAGAATGAAAAAGTTTTAAAAAAAGTTTAATTAAAGAAAAATTCCAATTAGCAGTGAACATTTTCGAAACTTATTCGGTGAAATAAGTCAATTATTTTGTAGTTTGTTTACTTTTTCTATGACATTTTACTGGATTAAAGAAAAAAATAGATAAATTCTTATTAACATTTGATAATATTAAAATGACAGTATGAATTCAAAAATAGATTCATTTTCAGTGAATGTTAGTTTGATGAGAACAAAAACAATTTATAAAGCAATCTTTCTCCTAATTAAACTACATTTAATTATTAATTGCAGGGAAATTTGGTTGTAATTCGGAACTTTTTTATTAATGCATTAGAAGATAAAATTATTAATGATTATCTAAATTATTAATGCATTAGAAGACAAACGGTCAATTCAACTAATCATGATCTATTAATTATTTCGAGAAATACATTTGTTATCGTTTTTTTTTCTAAAGAAGTTTAAAATAAGCATAACAATTTAATTTCTCAATGAAATTATTTCATGAAATAAAATTAAATTTTAATGCAAAATTGAATTAATACTTTGCCATTTCAGATTAATTCGAAATATCATAATTTCGAAATTTGAATGTTTCACAATTCAACTAATTTTTTGTTTATTTCAAAAAAAGCCTAAATTTTATTTGTTTTAACTCATTTCCTTTTATTTCCAACAAAAAAAGAAATCGATTTTTTTTATTTTGTATTAAATAAGGGAGGAGAGGAAAAGAAAAAACTAAAACAACAATTAAATGAAGCAAACATTCAAGAAAATCGAAAATCCACAAAGGCATACATCGATAGTTGATTATTATTCCCGTGGGTGTAATTGAAAAAGTCAAATTATTCCGATACAATAAACATTTTGGAAATGGCTTTCAGAGTGATATTTTCTTTCTTTTTCAACTCGTTTTTATTATTTAATCTTAATTTGAGGAAAAAAACCAGAAATTAATTCCCAATTGTTTCATTAATTCTCCTACTACAATTATTACTTGAAAATCACAAAAACAATGCAACCTAACTAGGCTTATTTATTTTTTGTCAACTAATCTGATTTCATTTTTCTGCTACCTTGTCATTTGTATGGAATAATACGACCTATCCAGACTAGTTTTTTTTGTCAACCAATCTAATTTCACTTTTTTTCCTGCGTTCTTATTCATACCTGTCATTTACTTGCAAATTGTTATTTTTGATTTATATTACTATATCTTATTTGGCCAAGACTTGACAAGTACTTGTTTGCATTGGATCAAAAACATCATGTTTTTAGTTTACGCTGCATGCTCACGTTTGGCGTGAAGAAAACGGCACGTTTTTAATTCATGTTGCATGCTTGTTCTTGACGTGAACTTCTATTATAATATGATAAATGACAAAAACATTTATTGTTCATCAACAAATCAAATATCTTCTGCATCACAAAAACATCTCGCTTATCGGAAATCACTGATAATGTTATCTACTAGTGATCACACATGATCTCATGCTTGAAATAACTATGTAAATGATCTGAATTAAGGAAACCGATAAAGTAAAAAATTTTTTTAGGCATTTTAGGCGGTTTTAGTAAAAAAAAAATGCAAATTCATTCATGTCAGAAAAGTGAATAAATTATTTTTTTAAATAATTAGAAATAAGAAAAATGATAAAAATATTCATCTTATACGATTTAAGTGATAACGCGATAATATATTGATCTGATCATGAGGAATTTATCTGTTTGTCTGGAGATGATTTTTGATAAAATCTGTTATCGATCACATATGACTACATACCTTGCAATAATTTTTATAATAATTAGAAATGAGAAAATTGATAAAAATCTCAAAATTTAAAACAGTTCAATGAAAATTTGGTGGTTAATAATAGACAATATTGTAAGTTATTACCAATGTGCAAATTAGTCCTTAATGATTAAATATAATGTATAAATTATGATATCATCATTGTAATCGCATCAAAGTTGCACATTTTTATCAGTTATGTTGTTTGTAACTACTGAAAAAAAATGTTTCACAGGCATCTTTGATGAAATATTTTGATGA